TGCCAAGAGCACGCTTACCCCTGACGGACGGAGGACAGACAGACCCAGACTCAGCAACAAGACTAGCGGCGTAGTCTAGATGACAGGCAGCAGCAAAGTCAACAAGCTCAGAGACTAAGGCAGACGTAGCAGCAGACTCAAACGACGGGTCAGTGACAACAGTGGCGAGCAGACGCGTGACAGTAGGGTGAGCAGCACGAACCAGGTCAGACTCAGGGTCCGGAACGTCAGGCAGAGAAGATACTGGAGGTGACGGTAGGGGAATATGTCAAACATATATGTGTGTTATTATTGTTCCTGGTATGCTGTAGTGGGGTAGATAGTATGAGGTACATTTCCTTAGGGTTACCTTTTGTACCAAACTTCTCGATACTCAACTTCAACCTTGCCTAGCTATCTCGACATGGTATCAGAGCAGGTTCTTAGGACCTAAGCTTAAGGGCCCACCCGTTACTGCGTTACCTCACCAACGGCCTGCCTGCCTGCTTTGCCTGCTTGTCTACCTAGCCTACTGCCCGCGCGCGCCTCGGCTGCGCGCGCACGCCTTTTTTTTTTAGCGCGCACTGCTTCTGCCAGCCGCGTCGTGCCCCGTAAGTCGCTCGCGCAGCCTGCCCTGAGCCCGCGCAGCCCGCGCGCGGCCCGCAGCTGCCCCGCGCACCGATTAACGGGAGGCCAGTAGAAGACAGGAGGCTAAGCACCTGGCGAAGCACGGAGTCAGGCGCCGGCAGAGACGACGGTGACGGCGGAGCGAAAAACAGTCGCGGCTGTGCAGTGCCACCAGCACCAGTAGCTCCAGCGCCTCCAGCAGCTCCAGAACCTCCAGCCCCAGCGCCTCCAGCAGCTCCAGGACCACCAGCTCCAGCGCCTCCAACAGCTCCAGAACCTCCAGCTCCAGCGCCTCCAGCAGCTCCAGAACCTCCAGCTCCAGCGCCTCCAGCAGCTCCAGAACAACCAGCTCCAGCGCCTCCAACCAGGGCCTGTGCTAGGATTTAGGGCACCCTGAGCCCTCAGGGTAACTTTTGAAAAAAAATCTAAAATGCCCTGATTTTCCAGGGCAAAATTCCCTGGCCATCCTGAAATTTCAGGGCACCAGCAGAAATTCATCCGGATGATTCAGGGCAAAAAAATACAAGGCACTGGAGAGGATGGAGGGGAAGGCACGAAAGGAGCAGGTTGCTCACTGGTTTCACTGCTGGCTGAGCAAAAACATTGGTGGGGGAGGGGTGGGGACAGAACACTAGCCACACATCCCCCAGCCTCCTTCCTCCCCTCTCTCCCTCTCCCCCTCCACCCCTTTCCCCTTCCCACGAGTCAGGGCATCCCTCTACATTCACCCTAACACTTCAGGGCAAAAGTTCACTGCCATTCTGAAATTTCAGGGCAAAACACATGGATCATCCTGACGTCGCAGGGTAAATTTCAGCGCCATTCTGAAATTCCAGGGCAAACTTAAAACACCATCCTGAAATCAAGGTAATCAGGATGTTTTGCCCTGATATCGTGGGCCCTGCCTCCAGCAGCTTCAGAACCCCCCGAAAAAAAAAGTCCCTAAGGTAAGAGTAAGTAAGACATTGACTAGAAGTGTCGAGTGAGTTGGTACAAGAGTAAAACCTAAAGGGGTTATACCCCACATTGGCTACCCCACTACAGCCTACACCTAAATATAATAAATATTTATGTATATATAGTTTGACAGTAAGTGGGTCCGCGCTTCCTCTTTGGCAGTCGCTTGAGTCATCAACGGTCCAGATCAACGCCATCACGATAAAATGAGCAGTTGTCGCTGGAGCTGACGTGTACGAGGTGGATATTACGGAGGTGGGAGAGACAGACGAACCGAACGATTTCAAGAAACTGCTGGCAGCTGTACTTGCCGAACTACAGGAACTAATAACACGATACCCTGAGATTTTATAGATGATTTACCTTTCCATGCGCGTATAAATCGACTTTGGAAAACCAGGTTCGTCCAACGACTTCGCCTCCTGAACGCACTTCTCGTCGCCTTCGGGCTTTAGCAACCCCGAACCAGCAACGAACCATCGCGACCCTGCAGACCCCGCCTAGCTGGCCTTTTGATATATCTGTGCTAGGCTTCATTATTCATGTAGTAGTTTAAATCACTTATGCGATATTGCATTCGACGCTCCCTTTTCATTCTACAACTCATAACACAGATGGTGATAATAAACCTAAAGATGTCACAACGTAGGGTCTGGTTCTTAGGGCGTATTCCTGACTCGTGTCATCCGGTCTTGGTGTCATCCGAAAACTTTGGAACTCAAAAGATTGGCCCAAAAATCACAATTGACCAATCACATGCATTCCAAAGTTGTCGGATGACACCAACTCGGGATGACACAAACTCAGGAATACGCCCTTAGCGAAGAGGAGAAGAGCGAGAATTTCAAGGCACTGGGCGGGGCAGCAGATTGCTGGTGCTCATTTGGTTTGCCTGAGGGTGCGTTCCTGGCTGGTGTCAAGCTTCGGGCCTTCCCGGGAAGACCCGAAGCTTTGGGTTAAAGTTCCTGTCAAACCTTGTGTTTTCCTGAAACAGGGGCAATTTTTGGCCGGAAGACCCGAAGTTGGTCTCGGATGACCCAAAGTGGGTCTAACTTCCGGTCATCCGCGGATGACCGGAAGCTTGACACGCGCCAGGAACGTACCCTGAGCTACGGTCTTCGGTCTGGTGCTCATTTGGTTTCGTCCGAACCTGGGACGAATTTGGTTGGCTTTGGGGTGTGCCAGCTCAGCCTGGTTCGGCGAACACCGTGATCTCCACGCCACGCTAGTTGTTCTCTGTAGGGTGATGTCCCATTTCGTTTCGTTAGGGCGCGTGTCTTTTGTAAAAACTCTGCAAAACTCGAGTTTTGAGTTGAACTTACGCAGTTGAACCTAGGTCGACTTAGGCTCAACAATATTGGTTGCTGTAGCCCGAGTCGCTGCTCCTCAACCCACAAGAACCAAAAGACAAGCAAAAGTTCAACAATCGAAGTTGAACTTTCCCGAGTCGCGGTTAACCTACGTAGGTTACCCTGTTTTTGACGCGTTTTTGGCGACAACGTAACCTTTTTTCCGAAGTCGTTCGTGCGCACGAAATGTGCTACGACCGTCGCCTAGATTCGCAACTACCTAGTGCATTGTCAAGAGGACACACGAGTGAATTTTTGTCCACGCGTAGTTTCAGCCGAAAGTTCAACCCATTCGTCATCTACAATGTTGTACACGAGAAACATTGTCATCTACAATGTCATCTACAATGTTGGACACACGATGCACAAGCGAAACATTTTACGAGATTCGCGAAAAGGGTTACCAGCAAAAGTTCAACCAGTTTTTTGAACCTCTACAGCAAAAGACACGCGCCCTTACCCCCGTCACTATCCAGTGTTATGCACGGCTCATGCTGGCCGCCAGGAAAGAGTCACTGACCATCGTGCCATAGCTAGTAATAAATCTATCACATAGTCTGTTCGTACTTATACATAAGAATGGGACGGCTAGGCTCATCATCGACTTTCCTGCATTCTTCAGTCCCATTCGTAAAATTCTACTTTCAACGTAGCTTTTAGTACGCACTGATCAACCTTGACCATATGGAGCCACCCACGCACATCCATGATCTTCCTGACAACATTCTTATGAAGATCTTCTGGCACACTGAGCAGCTGATTCCTAGACAAACGGACAGCGACTGCTTGTGGGACTCCAACCCCTCGATTCCCACCCCGAAGTACCTCTCTGCAAACCTTTCATCCGAGAATGCCATTCGTGAGGAAAAGAAGACTCCGTTACCCATTCCTCCTCCCTCTGCGGACGCTCACCGTATTCTCCTCGTGGCGGCCGTGTGCCGTCGCTGGCGCGGTCTCACTCAGCGTTGCGTCTCCGCGCTTCTCGTCCGAGACAATCTCGTCGTGTCTCGCCAGGCTCTCGCGAGTGCTGTCGCTGCCTTACCGAACCTGACCCATCTCCACCTGTGCGACGGCAGCGTCGAGACTCTCGACGACGCCTTCCTCGCTCACCTCGCGTCGTCATGTCCCAACCTCGCCATCCTCCACGTCGGAAGCAGAATTGTGCCTGTGAGGTGTAAAGGTTATTATGGCCGTATATGCGAGAAGGACGCGCTACCTATAACAACCGCTGGTCTGGATTTCTTTTTCCGGCACTGCACTCGGCTGGAGCAGCTTTCACTTTACTGCCTCGACCGTTGTGTCAGATTCCCCGCGTCCTTCTTTCAGCTGCCGCATCTGCACACTCTCGCGCTCACACATGCGTCCCTGCTCGAAGCTCCGGGTTTTGCCAGCCTGACATCGCTCACCACCCTGCACATTGCCACCGAACATGTCTTGGACGAAGTCGCAAACATCGTTCGCCGCTCACGCATCACCACCTTCTCAAGCTCAGATGAAGCCGTGGCATTTGACCGTGATTCCCTGCTCTCTGCAGACTTCGACATGGCACAGCTGCCTCTGCTCAGGCCGTCTTCCCTGGATTCCCTGGGATATGTTGACTTAGACACCACGCAGCTGGCTCTGCTCAAGTCGTCAAGACTCAGGAAGGTGGTCCCGTGTGCCGCCCTAGAGCGGCTTGAGATTGTTATGCAGCGTCCTAGATCCGTTACGCCGACCTTTCAACTCGCAAAGCTGATGCCGAGGCTCCGCAAGCTGACCATTCGCCAGAGTCTGCAGTATGATGACCCTAGGCCAATTGCACTCAGCTTCGCTTCTCTAACCCTCCTGGAGAGCTTGACATTTACAGAATGTTACCAAAGAGACATTTTTTGGGGTTTTTACGACCTGCCGGAGGGTCTCGGCTGCATGCTTGACTTGAGAACTCTCGTGCTGCACAATCTGCCTCTCATGGCCCTCCCGGACGCCCTCTGCCACCTGCCTTCCCTCGAGACATTCGTCCTCAGTGGAAGCATCTCCAGCCCGCAGGTCCTCCAGCTGCCCACAGATTTCTGCTGCCTCACGTCACTCCAAACCCTCGCCATTGTGAAGATGCCTCGTGTGAGGCTACCGGAGAATATTGGAGAGCTCTCAAGGCTGCACACGCTGTATTTGAACGGTCAGAACCAGCAGCCGCGACTGCCACTCTCCTTCACCCAATTGACTTCATTGACCAGGCTTGAACTGGCCCTGTGCACGATTCAAGAGCTTTCCGAGAACTTGGGGAACCTCTCTAACCTGCAGGAGTTGCACATTCGCTCCTGCCCCCGGATTCAGCGGCTTCCAGAGTCCCTCACAAGCCTTTCGAGCCTTGAAACCCTTACGGTTGATGACTGCTTGAAGCTCGTCTCGGTTCCCAGGAGGTTAGACAGCCTTGGGAGGCTCAAATGGCTGGAGCTGACCGGGTGTTATGACCAGACTCAGCCTCCTACGTCTCTGCCGCTCTCCCTCGAGGTCTTGAGTCTTGGAAACAGCTACCACGTGGATGATCTGCCAGACGTCTCCGTGCTGCCTTGGCTGAGAAAGCTCTCCTTGAAGCTGGTTGGAGCGCAGGAGAGGATGGCTGTGGGCAGCAGCTTGGCGCGCGTGAAGCAGCTGGAGCTGACGCTGCAGGAGGAGGCTGTGGAGCTGCCCTTCTCCCTTGCGCTGCTCCCCCAGCTGCACACGCTGGTCATCTGGAATGCGGGGAAGATGCAGCGGCTTCCAAGCGACATGGGATGGGCTGTGGCGCAGCTGAGGGTTGTGCAGATCCACTGTGCGCGGGAATTGAGGGAGCTGCCGGACAGCATTGGCGCTGCATCCCGCCTGCGCCAGCTGCACCTCTTTGACTGCCCCGCCCTGCACCACCTGCCCGCTTCCCTCACCCACCTTGCATGCCTCCACCAGCTGCATGTGGAGAACACCGGCCTGCGCTGCCTTCCTTCAGGGATTTCGCAATTGACCAGGCTGCGCAGTCTTAGCTTGCATGGCTGTCTACGGCTGCAGGGTCTGCCAGAGGGCCTCACGGAGCTGAAAATGCTGCAGTACTTGGGAATTAAGAACTGCAGCACAAAGCATGTGCGCGGGGAGTGGAACTATGAGTGCAATCAGTGGAACGTAAAGCCTTGTGGGCTCCAGAGCATGTACGGACTGAAAATAGATGCGTAGATTTTAATGGCTTAGCTGTTTGATTGGTCGCTGGGATGAAGTTAAGCTAAGTTTTTTTGTAAATGCATCCACCACCCTACAGATCCAACTTGAAAACATGTTCTGACTCCCCTCTTGTGCTGTCTGCCCTCCCCTCCCACCATTCTTCCTCTCTCTCCTCCCCTCCCCTTTGGTCGTCCTCACTGTCTCCCCTCCCCTCCAGCCATCGCCTTTCCCAACGGAAAGCGGAAAGTCGTCTGCTGCCGGATCTTCAGCCTACCATACTTCACCAACTAATCCATCAAGAAGTCAGGAGTGATGTTACGGTAGTGGAGACATTCTTTTCAAGGCTCTGACTAGGATTTAGGCCCGTCCTCCCTGAAAAAAAAAAATCATCTGAGCAGAATATGAGCAATTCTTGGAGGTCTGTAAATTCAGATGAACCAGAAGTCCCAGTCTAGGATTTCATACAGAACAAAGACCACTGTATGTTTGTCCATTCATTTTACATGCGTTCATGATTCTAAGGCCATTATGGTGTCGGCTTCTTCTACCACTGCGTTCTAATATAGGAATACCACTTAGGTGTCAGAGGTCCACTGGAGATCCCCGATTGATCCTAGGGAAGGGTTATAGGCACGTCGGCCTGGGGGGTTATGGGCGCACTCACCCGCTACACAAACAAGCCTTTTTATCCCAGTGGTTAGTGGCTGAGATTCTGACATGGTATCAGAGCAGGGCCTCAGATTCACTTTAGGGTCGTCACCCCATCAGGGTCCCCCTGCGTGATAACTCTGATTTTCAGTGTCCCAAATAAAAAAAAGCTGAAATGTCAGTGTCGCAAATTTTCATTGCCTAATGCATCAGTGTACCTTTTGCAAAAACACTGACTCTATTTTAAACTCCTACTATTAAATTAAATAGTCACAAGAAGAGTTGTAGTTATAATCTAAGAATCTCTAATAGGGGTCATGCATGCATCACCATCAGAATCAGAGCCATCATCATCACTCCCCTGCGCCCTTGGCTCTTCTTCCCACTCCTGAACTGCCTCCTTTCCCCTGCCACTACCCTGCCCCTCTCTTGATGGAGCTGCTGCCACATTGCCAAAGGGCCGGCGCTTCTTGTAGCTGCGCCAGATCTGCACCATTGATTTCGTTGTAGTCGGGCTCGTACTCGAGGAGCGACATCGTGACGACATCTTCAAGGCGGGCGTCTTTGAGGCTCCCAGCTGCCACGTTTTGATGATGTTTTGGCGGGAAAACCCGCGCTCACATTCCACTGTGCTCAGCGGCAGTACGGCGACAGCCACCCAGAGACGCACAAGGTTGGGGTAGCTGGTCGTCCAGTCACTTGTCTTCAGCATCACGGTGAGGCCGGCATGGAAGCTCCTCTCGGTCTTCGGGGCACCTGCGAGGATGGGGCAAAAGGCTCGCAGTTCTTTGATCGCCCGGCGCTTGTCGATCCCTGCCAGAGAAAGCAGAGAAGAGATTGTTAGGATGACAGACCGACAGGGAGACACCACCACAGAAATTAAATGTCAAAATGTTTACACGATACGCTTTTAGTACAACACAGGTGCACAATCAATAAACACGTACCAGGAAGGATGTAGTCGTTCTCCACTGCCCTGAACAGCCTGACGAGTGACATGAGCCACTCGAGACACTGCTTGTGGCGCTCTCCTCTCTCTGCTGGGTACTCATCGGGCATGAACAGCCGGACTCCCACAAGGGAGTCCAAGTCTGCAAACCTCTTGGTGAGGTTGCGCACGAGCGACTCTGCAAACGAGGTGCAGTGATCCACGCAGTTGTAGTGATTTTCCAGTGTTGGGTAGTCCTCGCTCGGGTTCTCGTGCAGTTTGAACGTGTGTTTAGTGGGCCGACCGTCTGAGTCCACTCCTTGCACCGTCACCTCGGGGTTGTCACTGTCCGGCCCATACTTCAAGATGAACGGGGACAGGCGCGCGCTCAACCCGCCCCCAGAATCATCGCCGCAGTCGACGTAGCACACCTGCAATGTCAAGCTATGTTTGGGCGAAGGAAATGACATTGCAGGAAACAAGGCAGTCGAGATTGCGGGTGATTTCTCATACGAATAGTGTTTTGTTTGACTGTCAACAATAGAAACGCATTGTCAAACACACACAGAAGCCACAAGTACAATAACAAGACATCATGACAAGTTAAGCACACACTGAAACGACAAGTCGCTCACCTCTCGCTGCTGGAAAGACTTGTTCAGGATGTTCAGCTGCTCGAGCACGTCGGCCAGGAAGTACAAGAGGAGTGAAACCTGTAGCTCGTGGCGAGCTCGTACAGCGTTTCATCCCACTCGTACAGCATGACGATGATCGCGGGGAAGACGGTCACCAGACGCAGAACAGCGTCACCCCTGGAGAGCCAGAGGACCGTGTGAATCCCCTGAAGCTCCAGGTTCGTGGACGTGAAGAGTTCTTGAAGCTCCGGAAAGCGTTGATGCCAGGGGCCCGAACGGCCAAGATGCTCTGCGAGTTGACGGATCAGGCTGTCAACCATGTCGAACTCGGGAAGGGCCCAGGCTGCATGTTTTGCTACGAGCGCCTCCCTGCAGGCACATCGCAACACAACATAGCCACATGAGATATTAGCATAGGATGATACAAACAAGTAGTTTACGCATGGTGCAACAGAAATCATACCTGTGGGCAACACAGTGGCTTGAGATGAGATGCGGAATGCGGAGGCGAAGCCGTACGACGAGGCCGTTCTTGCGCCCCATCATCACCTTCGCCCCATCGGTGCTTATACCTGCGATCTTGGCAAGCTCGATGCCGAGAGCCCGCAGGTGAGACAAAAACACTGAGAGAAGAGATGCTGCGTCGCACTTCTCCACAGTCAGCAGGGCCAGAAACTCAGTGACCGGTCGATTCCCACGGATGAAGATAACGAAAAGGATCATGTGTTTTCCTCGACACCTGTCTGTGCTCTCATCACAAGTGAGTCCGATGTACGGGCTTGCTAGAATGTGCTGGAGCTGCGTTGTGTGTAACCATGTCGCGATTGACTGCGTGAGCTGGCCAAAGCCGTACCTGTGGCGCATGTGAATCACGGTTAGAGCGAGTTTGAAAGCTGAACACACACAACATGAAGAACATGATGTGAAGGCGTTTACTCACGTGGTGTAGTAGGTGCCGTATCCTTTCGCGAGAAATCCCGGCACCTTCTGCTCCGCGAGGTAGCGAACGAGGTTCACCCATAGTTCTATGGGTGCATCCTGCTTGGTCACGAACAGGACGGAGTCACACAGCTTGATGACCCGCTCCTTCTCGGTGTCACGAGCGAGGTTGTCACCGTTGATACGCGGCTGCCGGCCAGCTTCAGCAAGGAGCTTCGCCTGGTTCTTGACCGCCTCCTTGTGCTTGGTTGTTGATGCGTGCCGCTTGAACGCCTGCGTCTGTACGTCTGTGGCGCCCTTCCCGCCTTTCCCGCACTTTCCAGCATAACCTGCATGCTCGGTACGGATAGAGCATTTGAAAGCAGGGAGACCGTCAGATTGCCGCAGTAGAATCAGCCACTCAAACCTGTCCAGCCACTCAGTCTTGTACTTATACAGAGCCTCGGCGTAGAGCGCGTCGGGTCCAGACTGTTTCGAAGGACCCGGAACTGATGGCGACTCCTGCGTTTTGGCTATCACGGGCGACGACCGTTGGTCGGTTGGCGCAGGCACAGAAGCCCCGTCGACTGCGGCCTTATGAAACCATGGCAGCGTGGACTGCGTGTATCGGCCGGTTTTTTTGGCCACTGGTTCAGGAGTGGTATTTTCAGCTGGAGGCGGTGAACTGTCTTGCTCGATGACTGGCGCTGACGGGGACGCACAGAGCGGCTCCACATCTATGTGCTCGAACGGTATCTTGTCTGGCGGCTCTAGTTCTGGTTGCTTCTCATTGACGTTGACCTGCGCTAAGCCCGAAAACAACAGATCGATGCCGGTCACAGCTTCTGTACGGTCTACATGCGGCTGGCGATGCGCATCACCGGCGTGTTCGCCGCTTCTTTCCGTGCCATCAAGCTGCTCCACCATGGTAAGCAGCACGGACGGCCTCGCATCTAACCTACTGACAACTGCAAAGGCGAGAGATTGCCAGCGCAAAACACAGGCCTTGGCTGGCTGCCTCTTGGTACACTAGGGTGAACGAGGGAAACCCTGGTTCAGATGCAAAGCTTGGAGAAGAAGGGGCCCCTGGATGGCGGAAACGGTGGATGGGCTGGGCGGCGTGGAAGCATCATCACCTCACCTCGACGTCAAGAAGGATGGCACGGTGCTTGCCAGCACAGCCCAACCCTAACGCATCGCACGGCAGGAACCTTGGCAGCCCGCCAGCACCACATGACTGCCACGTTCGGATTGGCCAACACTGGATTCTGCAGCGAAACGGCCCAATGGTGTGAGGCGACACGCCAAAAAAACACCTCTCAACGTGAACCTGAGGCAACATTACTAAGGGTGGTCCTGCCCCGGGGTGCCCACGTACAGGGAATCTGAGAACCCCTGTAATTGCGGGCGAGGTAACATGGCACAGGTGAGATTCGCTTTCAGTGTCGGTTTCATTACAACGTAGCGGCATCAGTGTACAACGGGAAAAAAACCTGAAACATCAGTGTGGCCTTAAAAAAAAACCTGAAAAATCAGTCCTACAAAATTAAAAAAAACTGACTTTTCAGGGTAGCTTAAAAATCGGCTGCCAAAATCAGGAATTTCAGGGTTTTTTTCCTGATATCTGAGGCCCTGTATTAGAGCGAATGTCTCGGGTTCGAATCCCGGAGTGTGCACCTCGGGCATCCCGATGTGTGGGGGTGTCAGAGGTCCACTGGAGATCCCCGATTGATCCTAGGGAAGGGTTACAGGCACGTCGGCCTGGGGGGTTATGGGCGCACTCACCCGCTACACAAACAAGCCCTTTTATCCCAATGGTTAGTGGTTGGGATTTCGACATTAGGGTACATCCTCATATCGACACAGATGTCTCATGTTAGAATCTA